AAAAAATACATACTTAACGACCTAATAAAAGCATTGAAATAACAGTTCCTTGTCCCCCAGACAGAGCATAATTATCCCATAACTACTTATTCTAAACGTAATAAGAACATGTTAATGACAAAATAAATCCCTAGTTATGAATGAAATAAATGTGCATTCACGTTTAGAGGTGGAATCAAGTTTAAACTCGGAAAACCCAAAAGTAACAGCTAAGAGGAAAAGGAAAATGCGAGGTAATCATTTATTTTTGTAGTATATAGTCTACTATATCATATTGAACGCATGGTAACAGTTGCCTCTGTCTAACAGAGAGGTCGATTAATTAGATTTTCGATTAATTAGATGACACAATAAATATGAGAAGAGATGCCGGAGACGGCGTTGCGATTATTTTTAACGTAAAATATCACGCAGAATACGGACTTCACAATCGATGGAAACGACGAGCGTAGTAGATTCATAAAATTGTGGTTTGTTGCACTGTCCTGGGGTTATATGTAACGCAGACAATTCCTTTTCTCTAGAAAACGCTGCCAAAATGTTGAAAGATGCATCAACACCGAGCAAGCAAGAGCCACGAAAAAGGACAAGAAGGGGCACAATTCGTCAGGTAAACTCTTAACATGTTAAGATGTTGAGGACGATGTTTTCGGGCCTTGGTGGATAACGTTTTCCCAGGACTGAAAAACTATTCAAGCTCGATTTATAAAGAGGCGAATCACCAGAAATTTGTGGCTTTTGAAAAGAATAGTAACTTTGATTCCCCTAAAACTATTATCTGTTTCTCGCACGGTTCCTGAGACCAGATATTAACGTTTTTAGATACTATAACGAACCAGAAAAACCGATATTTTGTCATCTATGATGATCACTGTTAAAGGAGGTATTATAAAGAATATAATATTTCAACCATTTCATTGTCATGTACTTTGTTGCATTCCTTCTCCACATATCTTTAACGGCAAATGCAAATATCAAGAGATAAAACTTAAAATTTATCCTTTTTAATTTGCAGTAATTGCAGAAGTTAAAGAAGGGATTCAAAAGCTTTCTTTCATCGGTGTTGTTGGTCAAAACACAAAGGATAAGGAAAAGCACCATCTGTAAAGATTACTGGTTAATATTCTTTTATTAACATCCTTAACCATGGTATAATGGCAAGGAGTTAAAAGGAAAAGATAAAATGTTATAGAGGCCACAGCAAAGTCGTGTAGAAGCACTCATACGGTATTGACGGCCTATCTTAACAAAAAGAATAACGAGGGTGCTTTTTTGGACGACCAAGAATTTGATTGGATAACGAAAACCTTGGAAGAGTACATAGACTAGGAGGGTCCCGAAAACTGCTGCCGTGGATCAACGAGCATTGGATATGTTTTCGGCAATCTAATGTTTTCGTGTTTGAAAGTAATTTTAGGACGATATTTATATAATTCAAAAAATATAGTTGAAAGGTGCATTCAATGATATGTTGTGTCAAGGAGCACCAAATAGAGTCCTACTAGACAATTTCCAGACGATATTTAGATGAAGCAATGTATCGAACGTCCTATCGCCATCAATCCAAGGTAACGAGTTCAGAAGAAAGAATAAAAAAAATCTAACCTAGGTCACAGCAAAGTCATGTAGAAGCATACGAGTGCCTATCTTAATAGAGGATTGGAGGGTGATTTGGATGACCTAGAGCTAGATCAGATCACGAAAGCTTTAGAAGAGTACATAGACCAAGAAGGTTACGCAAAATATTACTTAGTGGATCAACGAACATTGGATATGTACTTCGGTTTTCGTGGATAGTAGAGACGTAGACGATTTGGGGACGATATTAAATAAGTTGAAAAAATATCATTTGCTAAAAGGCGGATTTAGTGTTGTTTCTTTTTTGCGTCAAGTATGTAGTCTAGTATATATCCTATCGAACGAATGATAGCAGTTGCCTCTGTTTTGCAGAGAGATCTTGGGTTTTATGTGTTTTGTTCGATTGAAAGACACATTTTGCATTTTTAGATGACACAATAAAGACGAGAAAAGATGCCCAAGACAGCTATTAATTACTGAAAGGCAGATTTAGTGTTAAGTTACTTTGTGTCAGAGAGCACCAAACAACTTACAGTACCCGGCAAGTTACTCAAATGGTTTTGACTAGCCTGCGAATACAGCCGTCTTTCTTCGCTCATCGCCACTACTAACGTTTCGAAACGTCGCTCTATAGCGGCGAGGAGCAAGGAAATGGTTGTATTCGCAGACTTAGGCTTGGAGAGGGAAGTGTTAAATTTAATGTCAAGTACCATTTTGTACCATTTATTATGAAGACATATATAGCGGTCTTTCAGTGTTCAATCAAACATGTGTGTTTATTTGGTATGTCAAGTAAATCAGTTCTTTTAAATGCAAAGGATCGTTTTATTCATTTTTTTTTTGGACGAAAATGGTGAAACAATTGTGTTTCTTTAGATTCATTTCTGAGGGAAGCCTAAAAAGGGATTTATTCTTTTCAAATTATAAATTACGCATGCGAGATATCCATTGAATATCATAGTTTAACCGAAGTGATTCTTTCGCTTCCATTTGGTAGAACAGGTTAAGGCAATTTTGTACCTTTTTCATTAAATCTTAATATACGTTTGGCTATTTTTTAAATATCCCTTATTTTCCTTTTCTTGCTGGTATTCAAGAGCCAGTCAATCGATAAAAATCGGTAGCAATCAAGTGATTAAATTCCAATTGATAACTGGAATCGGTGAAAATCGATAACATAGATTGCTGTGTCAAATCGATATTGACGATTTTTCATGATTTTCACGATTGATAACGTAAGTCCATCATGGTTGTTTCGTGGCTTAAGCTAGATAGTACAGCTAAGAAAACATATCCACGAGTAACTACTGATAAACAAACAGAAAATGGGAAATGTGGAAACTATTACACACACAAAATTTTGTCTAAAACTCTTCATGTTGAACAAAAACAGCTCAGGTTAAATACATTCAGTTCTCGCATTTCAGACATCCCTTCGTCTCGTCACCTTTTTGTGTTATCAATCAAAAAATGACTTGATTGCTAACGATTTTCATCGATACCGATATTATCTATATTGACTACTCCTGCATGTAATTCGGCTACACCCGAAACTACACCGACGTACCCTATTTTGAAAGGGTGGTAGATCTAGCTCGTGAAGCTGGGCGCCTACAAACCTGTCCAATTATTCTCAGCCATCAGGAGAAGACTTGAAAGAAAGGATAAGATTTTTTTTAAAGTGATAACTGTTGGATCTTTCGACTGTCAAATATTGCAACTCAGTTGTCATTAAATTTAATGTTTGCATGAATTCAAAGGGAGAGAAAGAGTTCCTAGCAAATTGTTTCCAATCAAATATATATGTGAACTCATGTCTGGCAAACTCTTCAAAAGTTTATATACACACAATTATACGAAACTTATAACTTCAACTGCGCTTAACGAGCGAAACTTTGAAAACAGCTGCTCCACAAAATGTCACTGATAACGCGTAACGCAAAAGGTAAACGAAGTATGACCAAAAAAACTACCAATTTGCGGTCCTTCGGGATTTTCTGTCTTAACTACGGGCGCGAACAAAAGAAAACGTTAACCCCCTATCCCTTGCGGCCCCTATCTATAAAAGAAATCGATATTTTTTTCTGGTATACTGACTATAAATAACAACTGTAAGTACTTTCCGTAATAAACGGGCGAGCTAATAGAGTGCTTCCTCGGAATTTCGCCTTATGGGCGAAATCCCTGCTCTTCGGGACCAATAAGTTCTTAACTGACTTTCAACGAGGGTATTTTCTAAAGTGACGAATGGCACTTGAATATCTTTGTCAACTAGTATCCGTTTACAATCCTGAAAGAACGTTGCCCTCCCCCAAAAACTATATTTTCATTCGGAAAAAAAGCCTTTTCTTGGGCTACCCCTGAACTATGTAACAGACAAAAAAAAGAATTTAATCCAACTTAAGACATACATAGTAAATACATGGCCACACATGGCAATACATAGCAATACAGAGTAATTAATAGCACTACATAGCAATACATGGCTATACACGCAGTACATGTCAATACATGTAATACATGGGAGTACATAGCTGTACATGACAGTACACGGCTATACATGGCAGTACATGGCAATACATCGCTATACATAGCAAAACATAGTAATGCATCGTAATACATAGTAATACATGGCAAAACATGGTAATACAAAGTAATACATGGTAATACATAGCGATACATGGCAGCACATGGTAATACATGGCGATACATGGTAATACATGGCAATAAATGGCTATACATGGGTATACATGGTAATACATGGCAATACATCGCATTACATGGGTATTCATGGCTATACATGGTAATACATGGCAATACATGGGTATACATGGTAATGCATGGCTATACATGGTAATACATGGCAATATACATGGTAATACATGGCAATACATGGCTATATATAGCTATACATGGCATTACATGGGTAAACATGGCTATACATGGTAATACATGGCAATACATGGCATTACATGGGTATACATGGCTATACATGGCTATACATGGTAATACATGGCGATACATGGTAATACATGGCAATACATGGTAATACATGGCAATACATGGCTATACATGGTAATACATGGCAATACATGGCATTACATAGGTATACATGGCTATACATGGCTATACATGGCAATACATGGCTATACATGGGTATACATGGGTATACATGGCTATACATGGTAATACACGGCAATACATGGGTATACATGGCAATACATGGCTATACATTGGTATACATGGCTATACATGGGTATACATGGCAATACATGGCTATAGCTGGTAATACATGGCTATACATGGGTATACATGGCAATACATGGCATTACATGGCTATACATGGTAATATATAGCAATACATGGTAATACATGGCAATACATGGTAATACATGGCAATACATGGCTATACATGGGTATACATGGCAATACATGGCTATACATGGCAATACATGGCTATACATGGCAATACATGGCTATACATGGGTATACATGGCAATACATGGCATTACATGGGTATACATAGCTATACATACGTATACATGGCTATACATGGGTATACATGGCAATACATGGCATTACATGGGTATACATGGCTATACATGGGTATACATGGCTATACATGGGTATACATGGCTATACATGGCTATACCTGGTAATACATGGCTATACATGGCAGTACATGGCTATAAATGGCTATACATGGTAATATATGGCAATACATGGTAATACATGGCAATACATGGTAATACATGGCAATACATGGCTATACATGGGTATACATGGCTATACATGGGTATACATGGCAATACATGGCTATACATGGCAATACATGGCTATACATGGCTATACAAGGTAATACATGGTAATACACGGTGATACATGGTAATACATGGCAATACATGGCAATACATGGCTATACATGGATATACATGGCTATACATGGCTATACATGGCAATACATGGCTATACATGGCAATACATGGCAATACATGGCTATACATGGCTATACATGGTAATACATGGTGATACATGGTGATACATGGTAATACATGGCAATACATGGTAATACATAGCAATACATGGCTATACATGGGTATACATGGCTATACATGGGTTTACATGGCAATACATGGCAATACATGGCTATACATGGGTATACATGGCAATACATGGCTATAGATGGCAATACATGGCTATACATGGCAATACATGGCTATACATGGCTATACATGGTAATACATGGTGATACATGGTAATACATGGCAATACATGGCTATACATGGGTATACATGGCAATACATGGCATTACATGGGTATACATAGCTATACATACGTATACATGGCTATACATGGGTATACATGGCAATACATGGCATTACATGGGTATACATGGCTATACATGGGTATACATGGCTATACATGGGTATACATGGCTATACATGGCTATACCTGGTAATACATGGCTATACATGGCAGTACATGGCTATAAATGGCTATACATGGTAATATGTGGCAATACATGGTAATACATGGCAATACATGGTAATACATGGCAATACATGGCTATACATGGGTATACATGGCTATACATGGGTATACATGGCAATACATGGCTATACATGGCAATACATGGCTATACATGGCTATACAAGGTAATACATGGTAATACACGGTGATACATGGTAATACATGGCAATACATGGCAATACATGGCTATACATGGATATACATGGCTATACATGGCTATACATGGCAATACATGGCTATACATGGCAATACATGGCAATACATGGCTATACATGGCTATACATGGTAATACATGGTGATACATGGTGATACATGGTAATACATGGCAATACATGGTAATACATAGCAATACATGGCTATACATGGGTATACATGGCTATACATGGGTTTACATGGCAATACATGGCAATACATGGCTATACATGGGTATACATGGCAATACATGGCTATAGATGGCAATACATGGCTATACATGGCAATACATGGCTATACATGGCTATACATGGTAATACATGGTGATACATGGTAATACATGGCAATACATGGCTATACATGGGTATACATGGCAATACATGGCTGTACATGGCAATACATGGCAATACATGGCTATACAAATATCAATACATGGCTATACATGGCTATACATGGTAATACATGGTGATACATGGTAATACATGGCAATACATGGTAATACATGGCAATACATGGCTATACATGGGTATACATGGCTATACATGGGTTTACATGGCAATACATGGCAATACATGGCATTACATGGCTATACATGGGTATACATGGCAATACATGGCTATACATGGCAATACATGGCTATACATGGCAATACATGGCTATATACATGGCTATACATGGTAATACATGGTGATACATGGCAATACATGGCTATACATGGCTATACATGGTAATACATGGTGATACATGGTAATACATGGCAATACATGGCTATACATGGGTATACATGGCAATACATGGCTATACATGGCAATACATGGCAATACATGGCTATACATGGCAATACATGGCTATACATGGCTATACATGGTAATACATGGTGATACATGGTAATACATGGCAATACATGGTAATACATGGCAATACACGGCTCTACATGGGTATACATGGCTATACATGGGCTTACATGGCAATACATGGCAATGCATGGCTATACATGGGTATACATGGCAATACATGGCTATACATGGAAATACATGGCTATACATGGCAATACATGGCTATACATGGCTATACATGGTAATACATGGTGATACATGGTAATACATGGCAATACATGGCTATACATGGGTATACATGGCAATACATGGCTATACATGGCAATACATGGCAATACATGGCTATACATGGCAATACATGGCTATACATGGCTATACATGGTAATACATGGTGATACATGGTAATACATGGCAATACATGGTAATACATGGCAATACATGGCTATACATGGGTATACATGGCTATACATGGGTATACATGGCAATACATGGCAATACATGGCAATACATGGCTATACATGGTTATACATGGCTATACATTGGTATACATGGCAATACATGGCAATACATGGCTATACATGGGTATACATGGCAATACATGGCTATACATGGCAATACATGGCTATACATGGCTATACATGACATTACATGGCTATACATGTCGATACATTATTTTAAATGCATTCTTGATACACTTTAATATCCCTACTTAAAGTACCTACCACGCTGGTGATTGTACCCATGGAAAAGTGAGTGTTGCCCAGGGGGAAGCAACTTCTTGAGTGTGATCGATTTCGCTAAGGTGAAATTGCCTCGGGGAAATTTCTATGGATACGTCAAAAAGAACGAAAGAATTACCAATGACAGTTCCCAAGTTAAGTTCTATGGGTTAAAAAATAATCAACGCGGCTCAACCAATCACGAAAAAGCTGAATGTACCAAAAATTGGAAATCACGTGTTGTACACGTGCTGAGTTAGTCTTGGTACCAAATCCTAATCGAAGTTCCAAAACTCAGCAGGATTTTGATTGCTGCTGTGAATGTGTTACGTTTACTTAATTCATAAGCACCTTAAAACACTCAAAAGTTTTCTTTACATCAGTATTCAAGAATTCTTTCCTTATGAAGTCGTTGGAACCATTTTTGTAAACCCGTACTTTTGAGTGTTAAGCGAGAAATTGCCTTTGTTTGCAACGACGTTTTGGGGCGAAACCGGGTTCAAGTTTTTTCTTCCCCCTTAGAGAATTTATCGCTGTGTAACCGCAAACATGGAAAGGATCAAACCCAGAGTGAACTCAATCCAAGCGTTTTTCCCATTTGAAGCCTTGGGGAAGACGTCTAGTGTGACCTCACCTACTGTCACATGACCTACATTGAGAAAACAAAGCATAGTACAAGCGAAAGAGGCTTATAGCAAATGCTTGCTTGGTATTAACCTTGTGCTTGGCTGAAGATCGCTGAGACTTCAGGCTATTTCCTTAGCCTATTTCATGTATATGATCGTTAGATCAGGAGTATTTTGTAAAGACAACTGAACATTTGACTAACAACCATAAAAAAGTTATATTCCTTCATAAGCAAATAGGTTACTTTTAAAATGTTTTAGTTTATTTCAGAAATTACTCCCTTCTTAAGACGGTCATGCGCACGAAGCAGAAAAAAATTGATCGAAGACGTCGATAAAATTGTGACAAATTTGAGGATGTTACGCTGAATTAACTACGCGTAGTAGTTTGGTAGACATTTGTAGTTAGCGTTTGCTCTGCTAGTAGTAGGTAACTTACTCATAAAGCAGGGTTTACTTTAATTCCTATATGTTACATACACAATGTATCTATGACGTGAAATACTGACAAAAACTTCAGTTGACTGATCCGTTAAAGCTGTCGCATAGTAAAGCCTGTTAGGTATTTTTTAACCAGTTTCCCATCCAAAAGGTAACTTACCTATAAAAGAGATTTTTTTTCTTAATTCATAGTTACCTACTTATTAACCAGGTCACACGCGTGAAATAGACAATGTTACTGAAATAGACATTAATGAGTGAAGACACAAGTATATATATAATGGGTTTTGAAACGTGTTAGGACATACAATTATAAACATGCATATCAGTAAGCAATTGTAATAAGAGTTTCCTATCCAATAGGTTGTTTAAAAGTCGATTGCAAATCAATTCAGATATGACTTACACGTAAAATACGCAATTATTATATTAATTAAAGAAAACAATTAGATTGATCACTTACTGTATATATGATATACTATAAGTGTTTCCTATTCAACAGATAACTCGACTTATATAATAGGATTTTACCCGAATTCATGTTCCTTACATAAAGTGGGTCATGCACTTGAAATAGACAATATCGAATAAAAGAAACGAGTACGAGTAGTTATCTCGCTTATTGCAAGTCTTATGGGATATTAAATAAATATACAACTATGGCGGCTTTTGAAGCAGAGGCAGAGACGATTTGTCTCTTGTTGAGATTGTTATAACGTGGGAGGGTCTTGTCTTGTGACCGCAACGCCTTTTTTGTGCCAGTAATTCTGATAGGAACAACAAAGGGTATTTGCGCCGTTTTGGCGCAACACACCCCTTAATTGTCTGTTTAGTATTCAGTTGCCTAGTAAAATAAAATCGCCTTTCAGATCATTCAGTCCATCAGTCAGCTCGGAGCTAGCCAACAGTTTGATCTGCTAACCAAAAAAAAAAAAAAAACTTCGTTGATCATACATTGTGGTCTGTGTTTCCATCTGATTGAATATAAAGTGGAAACTGTAAGTATAGTTTATCAAATTAAATTCCATTATAAAATGGAGAATAGCTGGAAGATTCGTTCTATGCTCTATATCGACAGGCAAAAGTCGTGATGGCTAATTTCGTTCAATCAGGGCATGTGATTTTGGAAACAACAACTTCATCATCATCATCTTCTTTGTTGTTGTCATCTTCTCCTTTCTCTTCTTTATTTATGTTTGTTTTGTTTTACCCCCTGAAAACAGCAACCGTGTTTTTTAAAACACGGTTGCTGTTTGTAAGAGTAAATGTTAAAACATTTACTCTTACAAATAGCGTATTTCAACTTCAATTATTTTTTGTGTTTAATTATACCGACTGTACAATGAAATATGCTCGTTTCAATGATTCAGTTAGGTCAGATGCCGCTTTACGGATAATAGCTTAAGAAATACATACATCTTTATTTCACATTTACCCACTAATGCCTACAACGGACACTGGTTTCTTGCCCTATCGACATACTGTCATAGAGTCAACTGTTCTAGGGTGTGCATGAGTAAACAGGATAAACATGGTATACAGAATACTACAGTTTATATGGGTAAACAGAATATTGCACAGTATAGCAGGGCATTCAATAGTACTAGATATACATGGGTAAACAGGAGATTTAACAATTATTCCACGAGTGCACGTATTGGATGAGATGGTTGTAGACAACCAGGCGCGTAGCGACGAGTTGGCTATAATAATCTCATTTCCAACAAGCGCGGGTAGAATAATTGTTTTACTAAAAACGCCTGCAAAATATCGAGAATTCGTCTTGACTTTATTTGTAAGAACAACAGATAAGGTCTTGGGAATATCTTGCCATGCCTGGACAGCATATGCAACGTATAAATGATCTCACGGAGCACTTATGAATATTGATGATATTGCTGCCAGCTACACCAGCTCTTTTAAGCACCGTTAAAGAATACAATCATTTGGCGGCTTTACCATAAATATAATCAATGCGGTAGTTCCATGTAAGATCAAGCCTAATTTTTACACCAAGTTTTTTAAATGTCGAAACACGCCGCTCTAGCTGATGGTTTCAAAAGCAAATAGGCTGTATGGTATTATTGGCATATTTCATGAAATTTATAACCATTTCTTTATGATTTAACTTCATCTTATGCTCAATAAAAAAATGTGTCTGTCTCTAACAAGCAAAATTCAAATCGCTAATGAAAACTGTAGTACGTATCTAGTATTGAGTCTATTTATCTAAATTGAGAACAGGGGCACGCCCATCTTAGTTCCTTGGAGTATATATGACACCATGGGTGTGTTTCCACTCAGACAAGCTATCACCTATACACACAGATTGGGTTCTATTGGTCAGGAAAGACTGACTTAATCCAATCAGATAGCACAGGTTCCACACCAAGAAGTGGAGTTCGTCTATAAGTATATGGTAATCTAACATATCAAAATCCCTTTGAGAAGTCTGAAAAGATCTGTACACAAGAATTTCCTAGAAGGCAAGTAAGAATAGAATAAACAGGTAGAGACTTTTGAAATAATTCAAATATAAATATAATTGGTGGAGGAATACAATAGCTTAAAACTTGTATAAAGAGGTAATATAAAAATAATTGTCAGAAGATTAAATTCAACTCGTCGGTCACTGGTCTTTCCTAGCCCTTGATGAAGACTAGTTTGGTCTAACCGAAATATTGGGCAAATAAATTAATTTGTAATCCTTAGCTGGCCTTGCCTTCAATTTTCAGTGTTGTTTTCTATGGCTGATCCTGATCTACAACAACATCCAGCTTTCCCTCGCTGCTGTTTGTCTAGTGGTTCTGACAAGAATTGTTCGCTAATATACAGAATGACTTTGGTAAACATGGGTAACCAGGATAAACAAGGGTATACAGGGTATACAGAGACACGAGAGTTAACATGAGTACACAGCATATATAGGGGTATACAGGGTATACAGTATGACTGGGGTAAACATGGTTACACAGGATATACAGGGGTGTACAAGGTATACAGTATGTCTAGGGTAAACATGGGTACACAGGATAATAGGGGTATACAGGGTACACAGTATTACTAGGGTAAACGTGGGTAAATAGGATATATAATGGCATACAAGTATACAGTATTACTTGGGTAAACATGGGTACACAGGATATATAGGAGTATACAGGGTATACAGATGTTCTCGGCCCAATGAGCGTCCAGATAAGAAAGAATGGCAAGTTGTTGGCGCTAAAAAGAAAAAGGAAAAAACCAAAACAAGGAAAAGAAATCCGGAAAAGAACGAAAAAGAACCGCAGTCTGTTCCTGGAAATAATGCACAGACAAGGAACGCTGTAACCGTAATAGCAGGAGATTCAATCATCCAAAACATCCGTGGCTGGAGCCTTTCTAAAACCAACAAGGTGGTCGTAAAGCCATTTCCTGGCGCAAGAACTGAGGACATGGAAGACTTTATTAAACCCATCCTAAGAAAAGATCCTGAGAACATCATAATCCATGCTGGAACCAACGACGTAAACTCCAAAGAACCTAGATTAACAGCCGGAGGCATTGTTAACCTGGCTCTTAAAATTGAAGGTGACGCG